GGAATAGTTGATCATTTTAGCGGACAGTAGGCCTTTGATCAAGTCTGCCAGCTTCTCCCTGAACTGAATCCGCAACTTACGACACTTCAGGGCGATAGGCCTCACTCCCCCGACGTCGATATCGCACACCACACCTCTCGCCGCCGGCGGGAGGGCATTTCCTTTGCCGATCAAGAGATGCCGGAACTTCCCGATCCTTTGGCGAAGTCGATCAATTTCTGCTGGGGTCTGATTATCAGATCCGCATAGCTGAATATCTTCGATCTTCCCATCTTCCGTCGTCATAGGCACTTCCAGCAGTACCGCCATCTGACCATCGACATCTTCTGCGTACAGATCACTTCCTTCATGGTAGTATACACATTCATCATAATCTTGATCTGAGTCCAAGGTGAGGTCCAGGTCCAATGTGCCTGGTTGATCTTCAACAACAGGTGATGGATCCATGTCCGTTTTTACGACATACACTTGTCGTTCGACGGATCACCGGTCACATGTCCCGTCCCCGATTGTACCCTTATCATTGATGGCAGATCCGATCCGCCGCATTTTGACGGTGATGTTCCTTGATCTTGACCTCTCAAGTGTAGTTGATCCTGACTGACAACCCCAATTTCATCTCGATCATCCTCTCCTCGCGTTTCCACCACGTCTGTAGTTTCCTCCAAAGACGGATTAGTCGCCCACACGTCTGACGTCACTTGATCGACATCTTCTAGCGCTTCCTTGACCGTTACGGCATGGGATATAGAGTCTTCGTCTGTGATAGACGACAGATCCGACTCCTCAGACGCTAGATCCAACGGTCGAAATTCCGACGACGATTTGTCCGACGGTGACTTGTCCGACGGCGACTCGTCCGAAGGTAGGCAGTCAGGGATATCTTGATCCTGACTCGCCTCGACCTTCCGACACTGGATCAACGTCGCCTTCGGTCTTTGGAGTATTGCTCGCGGAGTTTCATACTCGGGCCGCTCCACCGCGGGCGCCAGCGGGATCTGGACCTCCATTTCTTCGGATCGGGTGTCTGCCGTAGCTTCTAACGCTAGATTCTGCCACTCCATGTAACTACGAGATCCGATCGAGATAAAACTCGGTATCCGCGGCACATGGTCTCCAGCCAGCCAGATCCGATCCGTTGGTCGTGATGCAGGGTTAACACCTCGTCCCCGATGTTGGTGATCGAGATATATTTCGTCTTGCCTGATCCACCGGATATTGTCGGCACCCATTGATCTCTCCGCGTGACCCACAGCTTGTCGTGGATCGACGACGTCAGGCACAATGGCAGTTCCCCCGACTCCCCTGCTTGGATCCGAAGATATTGGCCGACGTTGACGATCTTCGCCTTGTCGCTATAAAGTTTCCGCCTCCCGCTAAGCTGGATCCGGACTTCTTCCGACAGACTGATCGATTCATGGGCTAGATCTAGGCGGATCCCGGCTGGAACCATGAAGTCCATGCCAAGTTTAGCTCGTTGGCCAGTCAGATCACCCACCCAGATGTCGAAGAAATATACCAGTGATCCAGCGAGAGTTACCTTGATCCGGGTTCTTCCTTCCGTCTGGTACACATTATATCCAATTACCACACAGTCCTGGATCTAACTCGAGTCGATATAGCACCCAACCTTACGCGAAGGCGGTGTCCACGATGGACACCTCGGCGCCGGTATCTAAGAGTAAGATCGCCTTCTCATTGTGGATCTTGCATGTGATCTTCGCTTGACGAAACCATTTACCTGGAGAATGATGTTTCCAGTAACCGCGGGACTCTCCCGGTAGTAGATCCATGGCCGTTGACTGTCGATACTCCGCGATCTTGCTAGGCCTCTGGATCTCCGGAGTTACTTCATGATCTGTGGGCTTAAACCATAGATCTGGATCCAGCTGTCTCCAATACCCTCGTGATTCTCCTGGTTGGAGATCCACGCTCATGGTGACTTCGGATCTGGCATATTCGTCGACTTGGCGAAGACTTGAAATTGCGAAGGTGCGTTTCCCATGCAGATCACATGTATTACCGTGTAGATCTGGTCTTTTACTAACCTGATCCACCGCTGTCTTGTTCACAAATGCATAGAGCAGTATCTAGAACGCTCGGCTCGTATCGGATTCCACCCCGACGAGCGTCCTAGTTTAACATCTTCTCAGCAGCTTCGGGTAACATACCCATGTGCTTCGTGGGGTTAAACCACTGACGGATCTGGTTATAGAACTCTTCCATCGGATATTTTACCATGACATGCAGTTCTCCACATCCGCGACACACGAAGAGGCAGTGATCCGAGGGGTGCCCCTTTTGCCACACTTCGTGCACGTAACACGCCTCCAGCAAACAAGATCCGAATGCTTTCTGGATCCGCAGTGTGAACACCGATCGCGGTTGAACCCATTACCGTGGATCTTCAGGTTATGATTTTGATGGCCCTGATCACGATCTGGAAGTCGTGGATCCAGGTTCACTGACTCTTTCTCCACTTTCGGGGTAACATCTTCACTCGCTGCAAGGAAGATCTTGCGATGACTGTCAACGTCGGAGTCAGATCCGCCCGATCCATCAGATTCCTCAGATCCAGAGTTGTTAGCATGGATCTGGATCGCGCGCACTTGCTTCGCTGGAGCGGATGGGGTGGAATTGGTAGGTTTTTGTCGGTACTTGCTCAAACCGAACGCGGTCTTCTTTTGACGATTCTTAGCGCTATCCCGAGCGCGGAGGACTTCTTCTAGATCATCCGCATCAGTCAACCGCAGCAAGGTTAACCTCTCTGCCAGATCTTGATCCTCGAGCGTCTCGATGTAATTATCAACATGTTCGTGTCGTTCCTTCGCATTGCCATCCTTGAACTTCAATCTCACACGGAGTCCCGCCACGTTGAGCCGATACAAGTTGTCTAACGGCGACTCATCGGATCTGCGTCGCGTATGGTAATATTATCTTGCTACCGATACTCCAAGTCCGCAGTACTGGATCTGGAAACTTCGTAGTAGATCACTCCATTTGTTGCGATTGGATCTACTCAGCTGGCGATACCAGTTCTTCGCGGATCCAGCGGGAAGATCTGCGAAGATCAAGCATGTTTCGTCATCCGATGCTTGATCCCTCAAGAACGCGGACTTGACTTTGCTGATCCACGCTCGCGCTCGATCTTCGTCTTGATTTTTGCTTGTGAACTCCTTGAGATTCGAGATCGCCGAGATCCGGACTCGTTGGATCATGGTGGAACCTGTGGATCCCGCAGCAGCGGTGGCCACCGTGGCTTGTGCCGAGGTGGGAACATCTACATCATCCGCGTCGTACTCCCAGCGGGATCCATGATCGGAAGATCGAATGGACTCCATCTCGACATCTTGGTATCATTGATGCTGTGGACGTGTACAGGCTGGATCTTTGTTTGCCTCTCGTTCTTCGGCCAGGTATCGGTCCATTGCGGCGTTGAAGAACTTCTGCAAGGTACGACTGATCGATCTGAGCTTTCGGTGACCGTGGCCTGATTCATTGGTGCGGATCCATTATCGCGGCGACTGTTTCTGGCTGGGCTAGAGCGGCGGATCTTGGATCTCGCCTCCAGTTTTGATGCCCCCGAGGGCCCTAGGGAGGGACATCCGTCGCGATGGCTCCGAGGAAGTGTCAGATCCATCTTCTGCGGCTGACGCATAATGTGACGACACTGTCAAGTTATTGATGGCGTCAGACGCGGTCAGTGGCCGTGGATCCGGGCTCTGGGCCGCCTCCCCGACTAGGATCCTCAACTTCTGGAACAGATCACGGCTGATAGCTTGGATCACATCAAGATCCAAGTCGAACAGTGCGTCCGCGTCGAAGGATCCCGGGGTCATACCGGCATCTTTCAACAGACGGATCAGCTCCATCGCTGCATCAAATCGGTTAGCCAGTGTGGCGGGGGCTGTCAAATCCGTGATCCGCTTGAGCTTCAGGATCTGCATCACTGGACGCATCACTGGATCCTGGTCTACAAAGTCACGTAGCTCCTTGCGGTGATATATGGACTTCAGATCTTCTTC